AAAAAAAAGAAAAGGAGCATTTCCAGGGATAAACATCCCATTATGCTGTTTTACCACAATGACCATCAGGTGAGCATTTGGAAATCACTCAGAGCTCTGAGAAGAAAGATGAGGCTTTCTACTCTGGGGACAATGAGTCCCAGAAAGTCAAAGGGGTAGCCTCCCCTGCCCTGGAGGGTCACCAGGAGTCACTATGAACTCGATGGAATAAAGTTGTTTGTTTGCCTCTTGCCTCTTTTTGTTGCAGTTGACTTGTAAAGAAATCTAAAATTATCAGTTGGTGACCTGTTGAGTTGCATTTGTGGCCGTCATCTAGGAAATGGTCACATGTGTCATGGGCGAGAGTCGGTCATGGCACCCATCTTTGGCCAATGACATTTAAGAAAGGCAGAGGAGGCATCCTAGCAGGACAGTATGTGAAACATGATCAGTCAAAAAACATGGGGGCATAAGTGATACACGAAGAGGACACTCAATTGACACAAAAGTCCTGAAACATTTTTCACCATAAACTATAGCGTGAGCATTGATGGGCTATTTTTGTGACATTTACCTGCTATATTTAAATATCATAAATCCACTGTAATTTTGAAAGATCAGAAATTCCATGAATAAATTAATCTCTTCTTTTACACAGAAAAAATCAGGATCTTCAGAGGACAAGCCTCTAAGCCTCTCTTCCAGGAGTGGACTGAGCATTCATATTATTTCTTTACAAAATAAAGATAGCAAATGCCCTTGGTGATTTGGACTATTAAAGATGATGAGAACTCGGGTCTCACAGAAAAGCTACGAAAGCCCGCACTGAAAAACTCTCATGAGGGTCTCGTTCTTGAGATGTAGACTCCTGAACTGCACAGGTAAGGGATTAAAAGAAATCATACTCTCACTACTTAGCATACATGACTATTTTAAAGCCAATTACAAAACAAATGACAACAACTGCAAGGAGCGGGAAGAAAGACATCATCCTTGCCAAGTGTTTATTTCTCTGGTGGGCACATCTCCTGGTTGAAATGGAAGATCTCGTGTAAGTGGATAAAAGGTTTTTTACTAAGATCATAAACTGAGAAGTTTCCCTATGAATCTGCACTCAGGCCAGGCACAAAATTCAATCCACTTATCTTTACTCAAGCAAACAATACACTATCACTTTTGCCACAAAAATATTATTACTTGAGGAAAGTTGTCAACTTGTCACCGAGAAGTGGATGACGTTGGACATCCAGTAGCTGTGACCAGCAGGTCCCAGGACAGAAAGCAGCAGGCAGCGACTGCTTTGTGGGTCCTGTGCCCCGTCTTCTCTTGCGTCACTCCAGTTCTCTTTCGAGGGTTGTCCTCTTGGTACTGACAGAGCGCTGCACTTGGCTCTTGGAAAGCTAGAGTGCTAAGGGCAATGTGTGGTCTTCTGTCTTTCTCTTCGCCGGACAGACTGTTGTTTCCCAGCCTGTCAGTTCTGGTCTCTCATACACACACTCCC